AGAGATCATCGGTCAGTGCGACCAAAGCAGTTTCCGTGCTGTAGCCAGGCCTGAAACCAGATTGGAAGGCGTCTTTGAGCTCCCTCTGGCATGGGCCGATAACAAAACACAGGGAGTCTTTGTTTAGTGACTGTTCAAATTATAATGGCATTGAAACAACTGACCTATGCCCATCGCCAGGGGTGGGCTTCAAAAGATTTAGCAAGGGGTTCTCTGCCTGATTGCTGGGTGGGCGTGGCCATGGTGGGCGTGACCCAGTCAGCCTCCTGCACTATGGCAGGGTGTGTGTGTGTGTTTTTGCCCTCCCCAGGCTCTGGAGGCTTTCCTTTTTCACCTCTAGGACGGCGAAAACGGCCTCCCCAGGCTCCAGAGGCCTTCTGGAGGTCAGAAACAGGCCCGTTTCCAGACTTCTGGTAGACCTGTTTTTCAACCTCCCTGAGCCTCCACACAGGCCGTACTTGGCTGCATCCAAAATGGGCGAAGTGGGGACTCCTGGGAGGAGTGGGGTGGGTGGGGGTGGGCGGGGCCTGCCAGGAGTGGGATTTGGGGGTTCTCCGAATCTTAGCTAGAGGTTCTCCTGAATCCCTGTGAATCCCCAGCAGCCCACCCCTGCCCATCGCTCACGCAGCCCAGTTTCAAACAGGCCATGGCAAAGTTGGGGGGAGAGGGGGCAGAGAAGCCAGATTGGCTTAATGACCGCATAATTCCCTTAACAACTGCATTGATTTATTTGACAACTTTGCCGAAGAGACCATAAGACTCACTAGCAACTTCTTTGCTTAGCATTGGAAATTTGGGGTTCAGTTGTAAGTCAAGGAATAGCTGTGCAGCGATTGCCATGAAGTCATGCCCTGGGGAATAAACTAGTCTGCCGGGGCACGTAGGCTGTGTGGTTATAGTGTCTTGACAGCAAAAGACAATTTTGCACAGGAAACCAGAAAAATAAATGAAACAATATAATTACAGGAGAGACTGTTGATATAAAGCAGGGGTGTCAAAACGCAATTTCAATGAGAGCCGCATCAGGGCTGTGGTTGACCTTGGGGTGGTGGTGGTAGGCACGGCCAGCTTGACACCAATCACTGGATGTGACCAAATGGGTGTGGCAGCTTGACGCCAGTCCCCAAACTGCTGGCATGTTTCCTCTTCGCGTTGGATAGACTGAGCCAAAGTGACGCAGGTCAGCCCCTTACATTTTCCAGGATGGCCCCACAGGCCGGATCCGGCCACATTGCGGGCCGGATCCGGCCAACGGGACTTGAGTTTGACACCCCTGCTATAAAGGAACTTGTCATATGATGAGACTTCATTTTCTACCCAGCTCCCCGTCCTTCTGGGCCTGAGTTCCAGTATAAATGGATACCAGCTTCCAGGGCTATTGAGGTGTCTTCTCTCAAGGCCATCACTGCACGCCTGTGTCACAAGCTGAAGTGGGAATGCACAGAACTGAACAAATCTTTCCATCAGCAGGTAGGTTCATAAAGGTGGGGAAAAAAACTAATGTGGAAAACACCCATGGATGGGGGGGGGGGGTGAGAACAAAGAGAAACTGAGGCCAAGTGCATTGCAAAAACAAGCAATGTTGGCACAAGTAAATGTTGGAAGCATTGTGGGGAACAAACCTTTCTCTTTTTGGCATCAGGAATACAAAAGGACAGCTTAAGGCTGTGATGGCAAGCCTATGGCACGCGTGCCACAGGTGGCATGCAGAGCGCACTCTGCAGGCACATTAGCCATCACCCCATATCAGCTCAATTCCACTGTGCATGTGCATGTGACTCTTGTCGGTCAGCTGGTTTTTGAGTGTGCCCACATGCACGCAGGGTGGGGCGCATGTGGGCAGTCACACGTGCATGCGTGGGAAGAGCATGGGGGGGTCACATGCACATGTGCAGGGGCATGGGCATATGGGGGGGTCAAGTGTGTATGCACGGGGGTCATGTGTGCATGTGCAGGGTGGGTAGGAGGAACACAGGGGAGTCACATGCGTTTGCGGAAGGGTGGGACACACATGGGCATGTGTGAATGTGTAAGGTGGATGGGGGGAGCACAGGGGGGTCATGTGCATATGCGCAGAGGTGGGGCATACATGGGGGGCTGGGTGCACATGTGCAGGGTGGGTGGGGGAGCACAGGGGGATCCCATGTGTATGCGCAGAGATGGGGTGCACAAGGGGGGCATGTGTGCATGTGCAGGGGGGAAGCACAGGGGGGTCACGTGCATATGCACGGGTGGGGTGACCAGGGAGGAAGCACAGGGGGGGAGGTCACGTATGTATGCACATGGGTGGGGCGCACATTCAGGAGGCACAGTGCCCAGGGGGACAGACGTGTATTGCATTATGGGTGCGTGCATGTGCGCTTTCAGCACACAGCGACGAAAAGGTTAGCCATCACTGGCTTAGGATGTTCCTTTCATCCTTGCTCTCCAAGCTTTTTCCCACTGCAACATCTAGGAATGGCCAATCAATGGCTAGTTTCCTCCCTGGTTTCCCCCCCACAAATACATAGAAAGAAATGATTAAACTATGAACCCATTAAATTGTATTACAGGTAGTCTTTGACTTACAATAGTTCTTTACTAACTTTTCCATGTTACAATGGCACTGAAAAAAGTGACTTACGACCATTTTTCACATGACTGTTGCAACATCCCCACAGTCATGTGATCAAAATCCAGACACTTGGCAACTGGCTCATATTTATGACGGGTGCAGTGCCCGGGAGTCATGTGATCCCCTTTTGCAACTTTCTGACAAGCAAAGTAAATGGGGAATCCAGATTCACTTAATAATCGGATTACTAACTTAACAACTGCAGTGATTCACTGAACAACTGGCAAGAAAGGTCGTAAAATGAGGCAAAACTCACTTAATAACTGTCTCACTTAGCCATGGAAAGTTTGGGTTCAGTTATGGTTGTAAGTCAAAAAACCATCTGTAATAGTTCAGATGTGGTGGTGAAAATAAATTCGGGAACTCTGAATTTGTTCCGAGTCTCTTTTATTATTTTTAATGTTCAATTTATTTTGCTCTTCTTTGGTTGTCATTGATGGCTCTTGTGACACTCAGCGTTGGATTTTGCTTATTTGTTTTTTTAATGGCTTGTCTTCTTTTTACCTGCCAGGTACAGGTTTCCAAACATCGCCCTGTAGTGCTGAAGTATGAGTACCTTCTTCCTTGTCTGTGCATAGAGGTGTGTGCAATACCTCAAGAGGTTCTGAGTGAGGTTTTTTTGAAGTGGGACAATGCAAAATTTGGAGAGAGGGATTAAAAAACCCTACAAAATTCCATCTCTTGACAGATTTCATTACATTCCTTTGTATATTTTTATTGATTTACTAGCCGATAACCCGACTTTGTCCGAGCATTTATTTATAGGAGGAAAATATCCGGACCAAACATAATGTCTAATGTTGGATTTTCCCCCTTACCAGAGGGAACCCCCTTGTGGAGTACTGGGAAGCCATTACCATGGCAACTCCACTGCACTGTACAGTAGAAGCCATTTTAAGGCACAACAGGCTGTATCTTAACAGAACACACACCCTGAGGGTTTTTAGGGGTGGCTAACCTGTACAGTATTTGTTTCCAGAAAGTAAGTCATCTGTGTACCAAGTTTGGTTGAAATTGCTCTAGGCGTTCCAGAGTTGTGCTGGTACGCACACACAAAAACACACACACGTGTGTGTGTGTGTGTATGTGTGTGTATGTATGTATAATGTATGTGTGTGTGTGTGTGTGTATGTATATGTGTGTGTGTGTGTGTGTGTGTGTGTGTGTGTATATTGTGTGTGTGTGTGTGTGTGTGTGTATGTATATGTGTGTGTGTGTGTGTGTGTGTGTGTGTGTGTATATTGTGTGTGTGTGTGTGTGTGTGTGTATGTATA